GGACAGAAAAAATTCGTATTTAAGCGACAGTAAGAAAATCTGGAACAGGTAGAGGGTTAACAGATAATGCAGACCAATTTAAGCCAGGTAGGTGAGGCTAAATTAACACAGAGGAAGAAGGCATTCATTAAGTTTTTAAAAATATTTTAACTTAATTTTTCTATAAAGGAGGAGAGAGATGTAAACTTGTTTGATTAAACACAGCCTGATGGTAACATAATGAATGCATAGAAGTAGGACATTAATGTCAAAAAGGTCATATACAATTCATGTTATATATGACATTCTCTCTCTCTCTGTCTTTACATTTATATATAATATGTTTTAGTTGACTTATGTCAGATACCTGATTATATTATGTGTGGCATCTATCTCGTGTCTACATGGCCTGGTTTGCCTGAGCCACTATTAGTTTATGCTTATTTGGTGGAATGTCATGTACCAACATACATGTGATTAAAAAATTTAACTTTAAAATATTTAACTTTAAAAAACTATTTTATAGATCCACCAAAATGATAATTTCTGTCATTCATATATTTTAAAAATCTATAACTTAATTTTTTTTAGCATCCTCATTTTATTCTCATCAGTGTTCCAGTTTAGATGACATATGTTTGTTTATGAAGTTTAAACATAAAAGTTTGATGATCTGAACAAAACAGATATGTCTGGAAATGAAAAAGACAAATAAATATTCATCAGAAAAAAAACAATAGAATTTAATGAATGACTGGAAGAAGAGAACTGATGAAAATAAATTACCAAGTGTTCAAACTGGAATAATTAGAAAAACTATTGGCAGAACTCTGAAAGTTTGGACAGTTGGAAGTGTTGAAAGATAAAGAAAAATTATACAAATCTACTTCTTTAGTTTCAAAGCCCCATGATGCTTCTCCATGCCGATAATCTCAACTTGTTCCTAATAAATACATTTGAACTGTTTGAGTTTTCATACACGCATTAATTTAGTTCTAGTGTGAACTCTCCTTTAAATGTTAGTTGTGACTTTGTAACTAAATGTTTACTGATGCATTTATCTAAATAATTTGACATTGCATAAGTACCTAAAGTAAAAAAAAAAAAAAAAATCTCCTGCAAATGGGACCTTACAAAGAGTTGTTTTACAGGTGAGAAACTAAGGCCTGGAAAGTTAAGTGTATTGCTCTGAATCACATGGGTAGTAATAACAAGTAACACTGTAGAGCACTGACTACGTATCAGGCACTGTCCCAAGAGAGCTATATATATATTAACTCATTTAAGCCTCACCAAAAACAAACAAGCAACCAACTTATCAGATTAGTACTATAGGATTACTATCCCCATTTCACATTGGGAAGATAAGACTCAGGTTAAGAAATATCTTAGGGTTGAACAGCTATGAAGTGGAAGAGCTGGGATTTAAACCCATGTCTTCAGGCTCAAGGGACTTTTATGTACTGTACCATGCTGCCAACGACAGGAAGGAAGTCATGAGAAACTAATCATGATATATTTTTTATTCTGAAGAGTATACACAAAACTGCACACATTTACGGAAATTGCTTTAGAATTATTTCTCTCATAGGTAGTGAGAACAAATACATATTGTAACTACACGGATGTCCTCTTAATTCTCCCAATCGTACTCAAACAATGCTCCTCGGATAGTGCTCTCTCATTTGTGGTCAGGTATATGCTTACAAATCATTTTTTAAAATCTCCTTAAGGAAAAGTAAGGTTCAATCTTTGAGATCGAGATCACCTATATAGCCTGTTAATATTGAACTATGGAAATAAAAAGAGAAAAACTAAACCTCAGTTGTGCTTAATGAGTATTCAAATATCTTGAGTCAAGAAAGCTCACTGGAAAAAATATATTGTCAAACCCAATTACAATAAAAAATATATTGTAACCCAATTACAATATTCTAGTAATTAAGAATAAATAGCAATTTAAAAAAGAATTTACCAAGCCATTTTCTAGTAACATTGAACAAAACTTCTGAAATGCTTTTCTAATATCATCATGAAGAGAAATATCAGAAACATACTTACAAATATTCCACTTAATAAATAATTTGAATTTTTAAATATGTAAAAGCTCTAATTACAGATTGTTATTTAATGAAAAGAATTTTAAAAGACTGCTATTCCATTTATGTGTGGGGCATATCATTATTCCTGTACCCTGAATTGAAACGTTAAAGGATTTTCAACATTTCAAAAGAAACTGATACCTGCAGAGAGCCTTACACATTTGATAAAATCTTTGAACAGCAAGGTTTTACATTAACATAGATACTACAAAAAGCATAAGAAAATACAGAATGTATTAGTATAATTGCAAGTACTGATAGATGTAATTATTTTTGAGTTGGGAAATCAAGAGGTGTCTATAGATCTCAGAAAACCCCTTGGATGGAGTGGGGAAGGGATTGCCTAGGTCTTAGCACAGGGAGATGTCTGCATTCCCACATCGGATGGGGTGGTTCAGGGATCATGCAGATTTTAGGAAGAGAGATATAGCTTCATTGATAATTTCTACTTATTAAACCACACTTAGTGTCAAATTTCTCATAGTGGTTATTGCAACATTGTTTCATGTTTTAGATTAGGAAGGTTACAAAAGAAAAAGAATAAATTACACCCCTGAAAAAAGGGTCAAATTGGCTAGATGAGAGTAACATGTACAATAAAAAAAAAAAAAGTTTTCTAGACAAATAAAGGAGACATTTGCCCTAATTTTAAATACAATTACTATGAATATATTCCTTAAAGATGTCTGTTTTACATAAAAATACTTATTAATATTGATTTCTTTTAAATTCATGTTGTCAATTTTTACTGCTTCCTTGGTTGATAATTTATTCTTACAACCATTTATTTATTGCACTTTTCAATATGCAGCTACACAAAACCTAGTAAAGACATATATATCAGAGAGTATTTAGAACTCTATATTCCTTTCTCACACTTATTTTCCTCATTTCCCCTTTCTAACTTGGTAGTATGTTTTCCCAAAATCATAAATTTTATACTTCATAAAACTTCTACGGAACCATTTTCTGACCTACTCTACTCACTTTAATGATAAATGACCAAAGATCTCCACTCGAATTGGCAAAATAATTGAAAAAAAAAAATTAAAACATATTGAAACCTGATTTCATACATTTCTTGTTTGTTAATATATCACATGTATCTTTAACCCTGTTAATAATTTAGTCATTTTTAACTTTCTTTCACAGCAGTAAGATTTAATGTGCTTTTAAACATGTGATATTTAAGTGGATAAAACAAAATATCATTGAAAGACATAGAGTTGGAAAGACATAAAGAAGCAATGTAATTAAACCACTTATTTTTACAGATCAAAATCAGAACTACAAAGATACTTATTGTCACAAAGCAGTATTTTAAAATAGTACTTAAATTCATCTGGCATTTAATTTACTGCTCTAATTATAGAATCTAAGAACCTGAAGGCATTTTTGAATATACCATATTGTCTACTTCCCACTGAAAGTTTGCATTCCCTTTATGACATCTTAAGTGCTATGAGAACACTGCTTGAATACCTACAGTTTAGGGAATTTACTAATCCCTGAGATAACCATTCATTTTTGAAGATCTGACATCAAAAATAAACATTTTAAAGAAAGGTATTTATATTTAGCCCTCACACATTAATCCTGATGCTTAGGCTGGATTGAGGGGGACAAGGCAGGGTGGGGATGTGGGGGGAAGGGGACGGACTCTAATGGACAGGACCGAAGGGTGAGGCATGTTCAGAACTTAATTCTCCTTTCACGTGATAGGGTTTCAAGTAATGAGAGCACGTATAATGTTCCCTGTTAGATCTCAAGTCTCCTCATACTTTCCAGTCCTATGTTTTAAACTCTCTTTGTGACTTCTCAGGTGTGGCGCTCAGTGCTGAAGCAAGTACCACAGATCAGGTCGAAGTGGGACTAGGCTGGACATTCACAGCCCTCATTCTAGATAAGTCACAGTCACCATTTGCAGTGCTTTAAATCCATCCGCGCAGTTTTGTTTACTTTCTGTTCACTTGCTTGCTTATTGGTTTGCCTGTTATAAAAAGGAGATGCTCAAAGATATTCTGATTCTGAATCCCATCCACGGATTCAGATGTGTGATACATGGCCAGGGTGGAGAATTCTGGACCAAATGCTTTTTTTTTATCATAAGGTTGCAATTTTAATAGCCTCAGAATTCCTTAACTTATGCCACGTTTACATTTGACACATTCACATGGGCTTCTTTTAAGCCAGATCTCTAACGTCTGAATGAGCACATGTGATTTTTATAATTGAGGTAGGACCTTATATTTATACTGTTAATTTTCAGCTTTTAGATTGTTTCTAACTGCCCAGATATTTCTGGTTTCTGGATATGTCGTCCAGTATTTTCACTATTTTCTCAGCTTTGTTTTTGTGCATATTTTTTCTGTATATTTGTTTAAATCTGATAAATATGCTGACAGGGTTGAACCCAGAAAAGAATCCTGCAGAATTCCAAAGAAAATCCCTTCCAGAGTGACATATCCTCTGGGCATGCTTATTCAACCAATTTCTAATCTGCCCTGTGACTAACACCAGAAAACTTGCCCAGTACCGTGTTGAATTTAAAAGTGCTTTGGACTGCCTTTGACACACTGCTGCCAGTACAATGACTTATTATCATACGTGGAGGCTGAGAATTCCTAGTACTATTTTATAAGATAAATTTGGCAGAGAGTTAAATATCAGATGAAAGTCTTTCATGTCATGCATAATCAAAAGCTTACTTGAAAGCATACTTTAAAATAGATTATGAAAATGGCCACTTTTATGGGATTAAATGTCTTAAAACACTGAATCTCAGCATTCAACACAACCATTATTAATTAAAAAATGACTATATATATTTTTTAAAGTTATACTTCTAATGCACAGTCTACTTCTATTGTTACCATCATAGTCTTTTTCTGGAAACAATAAAAACAATACTATTCTTACCCCAAATTCTGGGAACCTTGGTAGGTTGGGGAGTCAAGGAGTCATTATTCACAGTATTGAGCTGCGTTCTATGATCATCCACCTGGAAATCATTCACTGGAAAAAAAACCACCCAATTAAAATATGACAATATAGTCACAATCTCATATTTGTGCATATGAAGCAAAGCATAACAGTTGTGTTTAGAAAAATAGACCTTTAGCAGTTTTATTCACAATGTTATATTAAATTAGCAAACAGTGAATCTTCAAATATATATATTATAAGATAATGTTTTCATGGGTAACTTTGTAGTTCTTGGTCAAAAAAGAATAACAGTTAATTTTTAAGTAACCCCTTTAATAAATTTTGTGGACAAATAAAACTGATTGATTTTAGGTGGTAGTTTCCAAATAACGATTTGCCCTCAAATATTTATAAGCATAAGGGATTTTGCAGTCTTACAATTGTGCCAAAATTATATTACAGAATTCTCAGAAAGAAAAATAATATAAAAATATGAAATTTATTCAAACAATTGCTACTATAGTTAAATATTTTAATTCTCTATGTTTTTTTAAAACACGATGATGAACATCTTTCAGATCTAATGAATACAAATATGTCTTCATTTGCATGGCTGAAACAAAACCTGGGTAAACCTGAACATCTAAGATGCCTTAATTTTTAAAGGATGCCTATAAATGAACTAAATGAGAGAGAGAAACTTACATGGGTCCTCACAGGTGTTTTTGCACTCTTCCAATGATTCAAAGTTGTTTAGATTGCCTAGGCACCCACCGTACTTGAAACGTTCACACTGTTTTGACTGATTGTTATAAAAGTACCTGGTAATATAACCTCGACAGATTCCAGCATCTTCTTCCAAAAAGCAGAAAGCTGGCTTTTCTAGAAATTATAAAAATGTCAGAAAGCAATATTCTCTTTCTGTGAATAATTTTAATTAAATTTATAAGTGAATGGTTAAGTTATTTAAGAGGTAAACATGAAAAAATAGATAAGAGGTAAAAACATACTTTATTTACAACTATATAATATTAAAATTATCTACTATAGCTACCATATTAGAATAAGGAAGACACAACTGTTATCACACATATTTTTGTGATTGGCATTTCAGGTTCTAAATTTCTCATAGTAAATTAATAGGGAATTAACTATCTATTCTTTAATGAATTGAGAGAAGAAATGATATTGGGTTATTTTATCATGTACCACTCCTGCTTTGGAAGTACAAATATTATGGCAAGATTTTGGTTTAATTATTTTCATTAAGCCTATGTGCATCAACATTTTGGAAAGGTCTTTGAGTATTTCATGTTATTGAAGTAAGGGTATCATTAAGGAAAGAGGCGTAGTGTGTTGCTTCATTAAGAATGATAAGTAAACAAAATGGAGATGATTTGAGGGTATGGAGGCTTTCATGGCTATTCTTAGAAGTTCCTGAATTCTTATGCTGGAATTAATATCTGTACTGGGTGTGACATCCTCCGCTTCTGTGTCTTTTTTAAAAATGTTCTTCTTCCAGGCATTGGAATGACTCCAACAGTGCAGAATAAGAAAGGAAATACATGTTCAGGGATTGGAAAGGCTTTTGCAGAAGCCTAATTCCCCTTTGATAGGGCTCCAAACCAGGATAAACACAGCTGTCACAAGAGTTGTGCCACTGTGATCAACGTTACAAGTTCTGTCTACATACACACTTTGTGAAAAGAATTATACTCATCTTGAAAATTATTATGATCACAAAACATATTGGGCTTGAATGATTTTTTTAGGAAAAATCTCAAATTTCTCCATTTTTTTTTTTCCTGCAACTATATTACCATAGTGGTAAAAATGAAATGTGGTGTCCTTTCACACTTTAAAGCAACTTACTCCTGTTTCCGGGAAGCAATGCCCACAAGTGTTTTACTACAAAAAGAGCAATTATTTCATAAAGCTAATAATTTCTACAACAGTTGCAGATCTGGAAAAGATCCAGTCTCCTATAAAAAAGTTGTTTTATTTAATCAAACTTCCTTTTTAATTACAGTTTTAAAATTATATTTTCTATAACTTCTCAAAGTACCAATTCGAAAGTTAACTTATTTTTTATTGCCTCTTGTTTTTCAAAGTGAACGTTAATATGATATGTAGTTAAGTGGGGAAAGAAAAAAACAATTCTTAAAATTTTTATAATACTTTTTTATAAGAGAAAGAAAAACTACATTCAGTTACTATCATTTTGATTTGTTTTAGTCTTAGTATGTACTTTCAATGAAATTTTAAATCATCTAAGCAGAGGGCATAAGAATTCTATGTTTAACAATAGTGGGTGAGTAAAAATTATTGCATAGAAAGAACAGAAAATGATAACATAAATTTTGCCAATAAGTATAATTAAGAAATTGTAAAACTAGAAGTTATTATTTATGTGAGGCCCCATTGGGGGACATAATTCACTTGAGAACAAAACCAAAAATGTGCACATGTAAAATAATTCTTAGGTTTACAGTTTAAAATACAGCTACAAATCAAAAAATGAATTTCCAGTATTTCTCACATAAAGTAACATACTTATTGAATTTGCGTACACAACCCATGCTGCAAATTGTTGTTCTATTAAAATTGCATAATGCAGAAAGCAGACTCTAAGCTGTATACCAGATTTCATTAGCCACAGGAGTTTTGCTAACTTTCGTTTGGGCCTGCATACTTGGGAATTGTATTAGACCAGACTTCCTGTCAAAGGGATTGTAATGAATTTGCACTGTTCCAGTGCTGGAAAGCATATCACAAAGCTAACTTCAAGTTGATAGAAGTGTTTATCATGAATTGGTTTTAGTATCTAAACATTTTTACCACTCGTGTATAGACCTTTATTCTCTAACTTTCATGTATAATATCAATTAAGAATGATTAGTTCTGAATTAATAAACATACATTTTATAGCATAATTTTACAACAAAACTTTACCTGCATATATTTTTTCTCCTAATTCTATGTTTTTGGAAAAAGGTCTTAATATTTAAATGTTGGTATATCCTTTCATAAAAATATCTTCTTTTACTTGGTGGAAAAAAATCCTTCATAAATATGATGTATTCTTTGATATTATACATGATGAGAGCTTTATTTAATTGAAGTATTAAACATTTTTGTTTAGATTAATTCAATATTTACAAAAATCTGTTTAAAAAATTGTAAATAAATTTATAAATTCACTTATAAATTTGTTGTTGTACAAAGTTTGACACTGAACTTATCTACAATTATTTACTTATTCAATTATATAAATTTTAATTCATATTCAGGTCAGTGAAATAAGTCAAAAGATTATCAGTGTCACAGAAATCTTCAACTCTTCCCCACACAATTAAATCATAATAAATAAAATTAAAGTGTACTTTGAATTTTGTGCTCTTTCATGTCCTGAGTTAAATAATTTGATCTCTTTGTTCAATATTTTCTCATTTAAATGTAAATTCCATAAATGGTAATTGATTTTCTTGATCTGTTGATAACGTTTTTTCTTGTGCTGATATAATATATTCATCAAAATCTGATTATTTTAAGTTAAAAACAGTAAAATAATTTAAATCACAAAATAAAAAATGTGCACCTGCACACACTAAAGAATGTGGGCAAAAGCAATTATTTATTGTTACATATTCCACTTACTTTTGCATATAGAAGAGTTGATAACTCAAAGACTTACATCCATTGAGGGGAATAGTTGGTGAAACTTGCTGAAGCCACACAATGTTGAGATTAACAAGGGAATAGAGATCAGAGAACTAAAGTAAGACTAGAAATATCTAAATCACCATCTGGAAGATGTTAAAGTAGCATGTGTGGCTCTGGATTGTGAATTATCTAAACTAAACATTAAAAACTAAAACATGTAAAAACTAAACATTATGCTGCATTAGAATGAGAGTAAATATGGTGTTTTTATTATGTCCACTGAAACAAAACACCATTTCAAAGATCATATAGATTTATGATCAACCTCGTATCAGAGAAACCAAAGAATATCTAGGTGCCTTACATAAATGCTACTAATTTACACAGAAATGAATGTTCACCTTTTTCCAATGTTATCCTCGTAAACATCATTGGATTATCTGCAATAAAAATATACATACATCAGTTGTCACAATTTATAATGTAATACTGTGAATTTGAATTTATCAAACTAGGATAACGTACTTGTTACCATTGAAATTATTCTTATACAGAAAGTGTCAATAAATAAATTTCTTTTTTATTTTCTCTAAAGATTAATTTTTTAATTTATTATAACCACAAAGCCACCTTATTTTAATATAATAATGTCTCAAAAGCTATGCTAAAACCTTCAAACACACTTACAAGAATGAAAACTCATGGTGACAATGTTTGCTGTTCAGAATATCTTTAATTAAAATAATTATTAATCTAATGTGAAATATGAAAGTAATTCTAACAGCCTACTTTACATATAAAAACAAATAATTTCTACAGTGGCTTGGGAATAGGGGTGAAAGGAACCATAATTATCTCCTTTCCTGATTCCTTCCCCTGCTGCATTGTCTTAACCCATTTACAAATTTCATTTATTTATTTATTTATTTATTTATTTTATTATTATTATTTTTTTTTAATTTTGTCAATATACAAATTTCATTATGATCACTGGAGGCAGAGGAGAAATGAAGCAAAAGGCACCAGGGACATGTTATTTGGTTGAGCCTCGTAGAAGTAATGGAATTATTCCTCTCAAAACTAGAATATTAATTGTCTTAGTCTTACTGTATTTCAAGTATGGATTCTGATTTAAATGATAGTGAAATTCAAATTGATATAATACGTATGTGAACTTTTAATTTGTTTATGCTGACATTAAGAAAGTTATAGTTTTTTTGTTTTGTTTTGTTTTGTTAATTTTATAATCATTTATTTTACAGAGAGAAGCTTTGGTCAAGACAGTTTCCAACTAGTTGTATGAACGGAGAGACAGAAAGGGAGAGAAAGAATACCCAGATGAGTTGAGTTATCTGCCCCTTTCAGCCACTGGACCATCACTTGTTCTTAAAACAGTCATGTTATCCTCTTATGGTGAATAATACATCTACGAAAGGAAAGCTAATAGGGCCAAACTTTTTTCTGAGTTGTACAATTTATAATTTAAAAGTCTTTTTTCAAAAGTATATATATTTCTAGTATTGTATTTTAAATATTAAAGAAAAACTGATGTGGGTTTATTTTGTTTTGTTCTATTTTAGAACAAACCTATATTAATGTTTTTTAATTAGTGGATTTTCATAATAATCTTACATTAAAATATTTTAATATAAAACTAATATGATTTTAATGTATAAGGACCAAGAAGGAATGTACACATATAAACAGCACATAGGGCTAGAAGGCTAAACAAGTATTATTCTTCTGATTTACCTATTGACAACAGCCATATGTTGGAAATATGGAAATGATTGATTTCAATGTTCCTACAATATTAAAGATGTTATCTATTTTGTTTGATTCTGTTTCAAGTTGGATTAATTCAGCTGCTATACATATGGACTATGTTTTTTAGCACATTAGAATTTTAACTGTTTTTATACTATCAATGATTGTCTTTGAGAAATCTGAAAATAACAACCATGGATACTCTATTTAATTGATGTTTATGCAGATATCAGTTTGAAATATTAGATATAGTTCATAGCAAATTATCAAATTTTCCTAGATTTAGACAAAACATAATTTATTAATGATTTTTAAAGAGTACTGAGTATGTCAGACTAATTTCCATTTTAGTAGTTCCTTGAACTCCAACTTATATGAATTCATGTTTTAATATTTCATTGTGAATGTTAAAATATAATTCTTATTAAACAAGTTTTTTTTAACAAACTATAATTATTAATATCTTTGGTGATCAAGAATTTATTACTGAAATTGAATAAAAATTGTGTCAACTTGAGACAGGGTTTTTAATTAATTCAAGACAGGGCTACAAAGATATGACTTGGATGACTCAAAGCACAGTTTCTAAAGATTAATAGGCAAAAAACCCCCAAATCTCAAAATTTACATTTGGTTAGCAGACAGTCGCATATGATAATTATTCCTCAAACTAACATAGATTTTAGTTTCTAAATCCATTCAAATCTGTAGTTTATGTAAATAATATGTTCATCTGGGTGTGCATAGAGAGTGTTACACATAAATGTCAATTACGTGAAGTTGGTAGACAGTATTATTCAAGTCTTCTATATCCTTACTTATTTTTTGTTTACTTGTTCTATCAATTGCTGAAAAATTTGTGCTAAAGTATCTAACTGAGCTCAGTAATTGTCTATTTCTTTCACTTCTGTCAGTTTTTTTCTTTGAAAATTTTGAAGTTCTGTAACTGGGGCCATGCTCATAGACACTGAGACACTGAGACACTATTTTTTATTATTTTATTTTATTTATTTTAATTTAATTTAATTTTATTTTATATTTCATTCATTCATTCATTCATTCATTCATTCATTCATTCATTCATTCATTCATTGGCCCTCCCATCTTACAAATATCTCTCTTTACTCCTGGCAATATTTCTTGTCCTACAGTCTACTTTTACTAACCATTCTTATGATTACTGCTTGCATGGTATATCATTTTCTATCTTTCTCTTTTAACTTCTGTGTGTTTTTTTTTTTTTAAGTGGCTTTCCTATCAACAACATGTAGTTCTTCATTTGTTTTCTTACATACAGTCTGATAACATCTGCCTTTTAAATGGAGTGATTAAACCATTAAATTTTAACTTAAAGTCGTTATCATTATGGTTGAGTAAAATTTCCCTAGCTAATTGATTTCTATTTTTCATCTGTTCTTTGTTCCTGTTTCCCTTTTTCTATCTTCTTTAGGATTGAATATATTAATGACAATTTTATCTTCACTGCTGGCCTGTTTGCTGTATCTCCTTGTTTTAATTTTTAGTGGTTGCTCTCGAGCTTAAAATGCACATCTTTAATTCATGACAAGAAGTAATTTGGACCACTTTCACCTGTAGAACCTCGAGAACTTTACAGCAGTAACCTCGCATGTTTCTCCTTTTCTGTGTGCTTTAGGTTTACATCCTTTTATATTGCTTGTGTTGCAGGTTGGCCAGCAGTACGTCTTCTCAGATATTGTTGATTTAAAAAGTACTTAGTTTATCTCCATTTTAGGCATATTTTAATAGTTCTAGATTACTAATTGGCAGGGTTTTCTTTGGTTTTTTCCCCCAGCTCTTTAAATAAGATGTTCCATTTTCTTCTCTCTTGAATTGTTTCTGATGAGAAATATGTGATTCTTTTGCTCTTCGTTCCCTTATATCTCACGCATTCTTTCTCTAGCTCCTTTTAGGATTTACTTTGCATTCCTGGTTCAGGAATTTGATTTTTACATTTATTTGTGTGTGCGTGTGTCTTTCCTCTGTGTTCATTCTTTTTGGAGTTTGTCAAGGTCGCACACATTACAGTTTTCATTCAGTGTGGATAATTCTTTCCCATTATTTACTCACGTATTTCTTTTGCTGTAATCCCTGGGACTCCAATTACAAATTTTGATTGACCTCTTGATACTGGGTAACCAATTACTAGGCTATATTCCTTTTCATTTGTTTGTTTGTTTAGTCTTTTCCCCCTACTGTGCTTCATTTTAAACACTTGTGTTGTATTTAAGTTTACTGACCTTTTCTTTTGTAGTGTCTAATCTGTTCTTAAGCACATCTGGTAAATCTCTTATTTTATTATTTATTTTTCAGACTTAGAATTTCCATTTGGCTCTCTTTTATATATTCTATTTCTCTTCATATATATTTATAATAGCTATTTTGAAGTCCTCGTTGGCTAATTTCATCACATTTATTATTTCTATCTGTTTCAGTTGAATATGAGAATTTATGGATCACAATTTGCTTCTTCTTTGAATGTTCAGAATATTGGAGGTGTTATGGATATTTTTGAATATAATATTGTTGGTTGGTGGACTTTATTGTCTTCCTTTAAAGGATGTTGATGTTCTTTTTGGCTGGTAGTTAAGTTCCTTGTGGATTAGCTGGATCCTTTAGAGCTTGTTTTTAAGCTTTGTTAGGGCAAGTTTAAAGTAGTCTTTACTTTAGGTCTAATTTGGTCCTAGTGTTAAATGAAATGCTAAGTATCTATCAGTCATATGGAAGCTCTGGGAATTGTTCCACTTATAAATCCCTGAAAAATTATTTTTCCGAACTTATGTAATTTCAGCAAACACATGCAGAATTTTATTACTCAGTGACATACTCAAAGGGGACCTTATCTAGATTTTCTCTGCACGAGTTTATCATCACCTATATATTGTTCTGTAAACCCCAGCCACCTCAGTTTCCCAATCTCCATTTCCTGCACTTGGAGAGAACACCATGCTCTCCTTACATACCCCCCATTTAACTGTGGTCCAGAATCCCTTCATGCAGAAAGCCCATCTCATGTATTTTCCTACTCTCTCCGATCACAACCCTGCACTTTTATTCAATCAATGTCTACAGAAAATTACTTAGCGTATTTTGTCCAGTTTTTTAGTTCTTCAAGTTAAAAGAAAAACTTCACTTCTACCTACTCTATCATGGATGAAGATGGAATTCTCTCCTTAAGTGATTTTTAAAAAGTCCAGCAGTACTTTTTCTACAGGCAGCTATATACTAAACCACGGTCTATCTTATAAAACACTGCGACATTCATACAATAATTTCAAGTGGCTTTTGAGGTGATAATGAGGAGATGGAGGCAAATGACTTACATTTATATGCTAGCCAGTAATAATATTTTAAAAGATGTTGTAAGCAAGGCTTTCACTAATGGACAAAATGAGTATATTTATTAACTTCTAAAAAGAAGGGTAACTGTTACACAGTGGTGAACTATAAGACTTGGAAATTATAAGAAAACAAAACCAAAACTGGTATGTATTTCAGGGAAGAGACCAGTTGATTAAAATAAATAGGCTGCTAAATGAAAAAAATGAAGATTACGAAGAATGAGGCAACCAAGCCTCTAGCCAAAGTGGTGAAGAGATTTGTGATGAATGAAAAATGACCAGGCAATTACAAAAACCAAAAGCACCACTGAGGATCACTGAGCTGCCTAATCTGTGTTGGTAACATTCCGAGGACATCTATGGAAAGGAAAGATGGAAAAAAGTATTCCGAGGTTAAAGATATATATTCACATCAATCTCTTTTGTCAGCTCTGGAGCATACAACAAAGCATCTCCCAGACTCACAGAGCAAAGAAGTTCTCCATTATTACCACAATGGGATTTTCCCACAGGCTGAGAGCATCACGATGCCAAGGCTGTCTAGTAAAAGCTGTTTTGGAAGGCGTTATCAGAGTGAGAATGCAGAACCACCTGCTGTGCGAAAAAACATTCTCCCTTATTACCACAATGGGATTTTCCCACAGGCTGAGAGCATCACGATGCCAAGGCTGTCTAGTGAAAGCTGTTTTGGAAGGCGTTATCAGAGTGAGAATGCAGAACCACCTGCTGTGCGAAAAAACAAGGTACCTGGTGTACTAACTGAAGACACCGTCCCTGTAGTGCAATTCAATTCAGCTAGCTCTAAGAACATGTTATAGGGAAATATTGGGCTAGAAACTGGGGAAATAAAAGCAACTCAGATTGTTGTAACCCTCAACTCATAATTTAGAACAATAAACAAAGATGTTAAAAACTTGGATCAGTAATTATTTGGAACGTACCCTAGTAAGAGATAAAACCACATATAACATTGTAATTTGCAAAATTTGCAGGAAAAAAGTTAACTTCTAATAAGATAGAATAAAAATTTAATAACTTAATATGCTATGATGTAATTTTAAACTTTATAACTCAGTAAAATTAATATGAAAAGAAAAGTTGGGTTCAGTAAGGTCTACATGAGTCAGCAAGGACAATATTTTATTTTTTACAATATTCCAAGGTTCCAACAAGAATGACTTAAATTATATATATAGAAATACGTATATTTCTAGTATGCAATGCCGCTTAGACTTTTCCGATTAGTAGCTATAGAGTCTCAAAGTGACTTTTCAGATTCAGTATCTTGAGACAGCATTGTGTTGATAAAAGAAAGACTGAGTCAATGTGACCAATAATTTCTCTCCTACCAACTCATAGCTGCCCAGCGACGCTGAATTACGCTCACTTCATTGTAAATATATTTCATTGTTCTGTGAACTTGAGGGTTTTTCTTATCTCTTTATTATGGAAAAGAGTATAGAACAATAAATGAAGTTTACTGTATTTGATAATAATTGATGTAAAGACCTGAAAAACAATAGTTGAACTTGAAAGCAGAAACGTGGAAATAAAAGATTCCTTGGGAATGTTAAAACAGTAATAAATTATTTTTTTTTTCTGAAATCACCAAATATATGATTAGAGGCAATAATACTAAAGGTTATTAGGTAGTAAGTGTTCCCAGAAACCTACCACTTGTACATTTTTCTTTGCACTCTTCCAGACTTAGAAATCGATTCTGATTTCCTTCACATCCCCCGTACACAAATTCTTCACACTGTTGGGTGAAAATATTGAAGTAAAATCTTTTCATCATTGCTTTGCATGGGCCATCATCTGCCTTCAACGCACAAAATGAATGTAGAAGTTTCAGTGGTGGCAACTCAGTATCTACAAGGTAAAAAGAAAAGATTTATAATCCTCCATCAACATTATCATAATGTGTTTTTTAGTTCCGTTTCATTTCCTTTTCAATATCTTCTGGTTTTAAGGAAAAGTACAACCATAAAACAAGCTAATAAAAAACCATGAACAATTATTCAGTTATCAAAAAGGTAGATAAAGTTATAAATTCACCAAATGAGGCACATCAACTAATAAAGAAAAACATGTAGAATAATTTTTCTAGACTCTTGTTAATAGGTATTTCTTATATCTGTACCACTTGACTGAGAGCATTGAAAAGCTGTAAAGCAACCTCATTCAAATGAATGTTGCCATTACTAATAGAGACCTGTTCCCTTAATTCAGCTAATGGACAATTCTTTTTTTTTTTTTTTTTTTTTTTTCCATGAGCTTTCTGAAGTACTCACATATACAAATTAGTACATAGCATTTGAATTTCCAATTGAGGAAAATAATGACAATTTGTTGTAATTTAGTTACATATTATACATACACAATTTTCTGAATTTGTCATATATTCATATAAAAATATTGTATCTGTATGTACATATGAATTCTTTAATTACCTTTTATTTTCTCCCCCTGTATAATGGACAATTCTTAGAGTTCTTCTCCCTAATATACTGTTGTGTCACTTTTTACACATAAAGCAACTCTTTAAAAGCAGCATATTCACATTCATGCATATACATTTATATAAATGTGGGTGTGTGTATAATACTACATTAAACTATTCCCTAATTATTAAAATTTGTGTTAGGTTTATAAAAAGTTTATACTGCATGGTACATTCTTTGACATACCATAATCAGTTTTTAATAATAATGAAAAAACTTAAACAATGCTTTCTATGTTTTTAATAGAATGACATAACTCAAAGTCTTTTGACCTTGAGTTATACATTTTTCCCCCCAAATATTCAGTCACTTAGTTACAGAAGAATTTCCTTTCTTGGGAAGGTACAAGCACATAGACAAAACTCAACTAAATTTTAAAATATATATTTTTTTATTGAGTCCACTAATATTAATAGAGGTCTAATTTAAAACAAATTGCAATTATTTACATACTCTACCAGTAACGATGGACACTGAAAATTGTGGTCGATGCAACCGAAATAATAAGGAACAAAGAACACACCATATAATACTTTTTGAGTGTCGTTTCTTGAGCCTCCGTGTTTTCTACGTCTTTGGGAATTGACTATCGATTCCTTACGGAGGATGTTGAAACCTTTAAATGACCTAACCAATTTTCCCTCTAGAGGGCAGCAGTATTCTACTAAATTAAAACAGATTAGTATAAGTATCTTCGAAAAAGTGTTTTAATGCCCATAAGGCATCATCAGCAACAGTGTTCCTAAATCCAATCAATATCTATAGTATATATGTAATAACTTTATCAAAGTAAGATAATTTTTGATGAACATGTACAAGTTTAAATGCCATTTCTTTTTCTAATTCTTTACCTAAACTTTTATGTTTATGAATTTATCTGAAATATGATAATTGACTTTAAAAGGTTTTTCAGGCAGACCAAGAGTTTCTGTTACCTACAGATATGGACACTTCATGGTAAAATTCAGAATTATCATTTTCCTTAAATGTTTTTAGACTTTCTTGAAATTCTCCGTTTTTTTTTTTTTTAAGTATATACACAAGTACTTCTTTCTATAGAAATTCATAACATAAATATAACCCGCATTTTAGAGGGTTGCTGAAAATATTTTCCATAGAAAAATATCTGGGTAGAAGCAGAAATGACATGGAAAAACACATTTTCTCCCTCCATCGCTGAATTTATAATTGTCAATTTAATTTCAAAAATCAACTGAAAGTTTTTTCAGAGTAGTACATTTATGAATAATTGTAAATGCTGCTTATATTCTCTATTTTTACTTAAAGATTTTAGAATGCCTTAACTGACATTGAGTTAAGTTGCGAGAAGCTGGAGAGTTACATGAAGACCCTGAGTGGTGCAACTGACTTAGAGCAGGCTCACAGTAAGTATCGTGAAATCAGCACTGTGAGGTCTTGTGCTCCAGACATGTTTTTCAGAGAGTGATAAAAATTTGGTCAATTGGTCTCAAAGTCAGATCTCAGAATTCACATAAATAATTTCAAGAAATGAGCCAAGAATAAAAATGTTCTGGCATTTTGAATCTTACAGCTATTTACCATTATCTCAGAAATTAAAATAGCACTTCTAATATGGTATGATGGTCCTCATTCCAAAATTAATGTTGCTGTAGAACTTTAGAGACACCAAATAATTGAAGCTGTGTTCCAGACAGACACATTTCATACAGATCTACACCAACAGAATACAGGGAAATTTACCTAATACCTGAATTGCCACATATATTTAGAAAACCGTTTCTTATAAATAAATAATTTATATAAGATTCAGTCTAATTGTTGGTTCTTTTATTTTTTACTCTTAATTTATTTGATAGTTCTTACCATCGAGCTAAAACTTTTCTATTTTCTGTATTAAGAATACACTCACCCCAAGTTCAACCTGCTATTTACAATTGTACCACCAGGGGGTAGCAGTGCACCAGAAAAAAACAAAAGCACACCCTATAGTTGCAGTAGTTGTAGCCCCAGTAATAGTAACAACTAACTGTTTACTCAGTAATTGCTATGCTCTGGACATTTTATAATTATCTTATTTAATGATCGCAACAATATACAGAGTTAGGCATTATTATCTCCATTTTACAAATGATAAAATAGCATTGTCGAAATTAAATAAATTGCTTAAATTCATACCGTAACTGATGGGTTTGGAATTGACCCCCACATGGTTTTACCCCAGATATCTCATACATTCTTAATAACTGAGTGAAATTGTCACAGATCTGTGATGGAGATTCCTAAACTGGTATTTGTATCAAGCACATAGATTAAATTATACAATTTCTTCTCAATTAATAACATTTTTTCCTAAAATTCACTTTATGAAATTAAAAAATGATTCCAATGATAAAAGTAGGTCATATTTTTATAGCCATTTCCTAAAGAAAAACAGTAAGTATTGACTTCTAACTATATTTTATTATTAGCTGACTATTCATCTTTACCACTCACATTTTAATATATTTCTTATAGGAGTTCTGTATTAGAATATTCTTTTGTGCAGTGAGCTTGCGATCCACCCCTTAGCATAGCCTCCCTGCTGTGGGGGAGAGGTCAAGTGTACTTTCTGACCCATAGTGCCATGCCACTCCACTCAAAAGGGACAGAAGTCTGTCTTAGTTTTTATTTCTCACTTTGGATAAATCTTTTTGAGTGTATTATTGACTGTGTGTCAGGCACTGTGCTGTCACTGCAGATATGACAGTAAATTAGGCGTCGGCAGCCCCTCTTTCATGAAGCATGTGGACACTGTGGTCTTAAAATATTCAGGAATTTCTGGGTGCTCTGAGTTTATAATAGGATACCTAAGCTAGCCTACGGGGTTCTGAGATAACTTTCCTGAGACTTGCTTTTGAGACTTGAAGAAAATGTTGACAGAGACAAGGATTATCTGCCTACAGCCATGAAACTGGAAAACACATACGGAGCAATACAACAGGAATTTAGTCTGATGCAGCTAGATAAATAGAATTATGGTTCGTATTTAATCATTTTTGTAATTGATTTCATGTATTTTATGTCTTACAGTCTGAGGGTTACAATCTTGCCTTCTCCTCCCTGTGTTATGGGAATAGAGGCTCAGTATAATATTTGGTGCTTACAAGCACGTCATGCCCTTGACTGTTAGAATCGTCATTCTCCTGGAACTTGATTATGAATCCAAGGCTTTCAGGCAACTTACTATCTAATAGAGTCCACATGCTGCCTGTCCTTTGATGAGAGGATTTGATATCTCTGGAAAGAAAGAAAATAGATATATACTCTTTGCCTTCTCTGTGCCAGAGAATGTGCCAGGTGCTTTTATGCTGTTTATAAAACAACATATGAAACCTGTTATTTACAATATTTTTTTTTTACAATTTAGGACACTGGAAGTCAGAGAGCTTAAATAACTCATTTAATTCTACAAAGATACTGCATTGCAAATCACACCTGCAATCTCAGGTCTTTCTGATTCTAAATCTTATGCATGACTTCTTCTGCCTTTCTCTAATCTTCTAATCTGCTACTCTTCTCTTAAGACCAAAGGAATTAAAAAAAAAAAAAGCTTATCACCACCATTTTAAATTATTTTTGTCTTATCAAATAGTTTGTTCTATATCATCCTCCCTGCTGGCTTGACTGATTTTTAAAAAGTCTGCTGTTGACTTGTGAAAGAAGCAATAAAATTCTGTGTGTTTTTCTTTAATGATAGTAACCTATTTCAATGAAATGATATACTTCTATAAAATGATGATATGATCTTGGTAGCATGTGATAAATTGTATCTCCAAAGTTGACTTGATTCAGATGTGAGATCATGTTATTGAAAAATTAATAAAAAACAAAAGTAAAACAAAACTAGGTAAGACTGGGCAGCTAGTTGGCTAAGAGGTCTTCAAATTTGGCTTAAAGCTCAAAATTCTTTCTTATCCATCTAAGTTTGGAATCCACCCTATTGTGATTTTAAACTCTGGTTTAATTGCCGATGAGTTAATTCTAGTTTATTGGTTGACTGTGGCAGCAGCGACAATTTCTGGAAACCTCTGGTTAGTTGACATGCATTTTCTCAGCCTAATTGAGGAAGACTGAACTGGGAGAACACTGGGAGTACTTGCACCCATTCTTTTCCCACTTTCCAGGACAGGGTTGCCTGTTTTTTCCCTGTTGGGACTTTATCCTCCACATCCCTTGTTTCTGTAACAAGAAACAATGTTAGACCTTTAGATGACCCCCTTTTGAGAAAAGAGCTGAATGAAGGATGGAAACTCATCTCATAATGGCCAAATTCCTATTTCAAAAGGCACATTATGGTGTTTACTTTAATAAATAACATTCCATCACCAGGAAATTTTCGCAACACCACTTTCCCTTGCCAAGCTCTCAGTTCGCCAGGCTCAGTTCGTCCCTTCTTCTTTGTGTCAACAGCAGAACCCTGTGCATGCCTCTGCCCCCTCATTTACTACTTTATACTGAAATAACCTGTCTGCCCTTCACTCTGCATGAAACTGTGAGGTTCTGGAGAACCTGATCTCAGCCATCACTGTTTCCCTAGCACCTACCATAGTTCCAGGCACAGAAGATGCATTTATTCCATCTTTATTAAAGGGAGATACACTGAACACAACTACTTTAAAGGGCTGTTAGAGATAGGAAATAGGAATGTATTTATGGAAGTCTTTTGTAGATCGGAAACTGTCATACAAATAGAAACTATCACTTCGTTTATTAACTCTTACTATTGCCAATGATTTGAGATTTCTGTCAGCAGTTTACTAGTTCACCACCAAATGTTACTTCTAAGAAACTCTATACATCTATAACATTTACTATATAATCTCCTCCTTATTCTATTCTTGTTTTTACTATTTTTATTTTTAGACACAGAGCTTTACGGGGTTGGAACCAACTTCTATTACTAGATCCTTTGGTGTCCTGCTTGACTGGATCTTAACATTGGACTCATCTGGGAAGTTCTTATTTTGGAAATACCTGTATGGGCAAGAGGGAGAGAATGGCTGAAATCTCAGATGTCTCTAGTTCTATTTCCTCATCACACTTTTCGCAGCCAAAAGGTGGCATCAGGTTTTATAGAGAGTCATTTCTATAGCACTGTGTTCCTTGCAATATCCCAGAGTTACTTTAGTATTTAATACTGCCAACGAGAAAAAATAAAAAAGGATTGCTTGCTAAAGTGACTTGTTTTGGGATTGAGAGTTTTTTAAAAAATGCATATTAGACATAAGAAGTTTCTTAAGAAAAATGTCATTTTGATAAAAGCTAATTTCCCTACACAATGAAAGAATATGATAAATTTAGGGGATAAAATTGAGCACTTTGACTAGCTTAAAGAGTTAAATGCTTCTAACATTTTACCTGTAATGTTTGTATGTTCTTCGTCTTCCTCAGGACCAGCATCAAGAGGGGCTGGAGCAAGACTAAGCAGCAGACATACAGAAGCCCAAAAAGCATGCTCTTTCTTCATTGTACAAATCATCTCTGAAATACAGAACCCACACACCTATAGTAAGTAGAGTGTTAATGTGTACTTGTTTATAGACTAGTCGGAATCTTATGCATACTTCCAAAGCAGATTTCTACGGCATCTAATGTGTATTCACATGCATCCCTGTCCACATACTCCTTGAGTCATATTTAGAACATGTGTATGTAGTATTCACAATTATAGACAAGCACACTCTTAGTACATATATTTAATAATAATCAAGATCATGTTTCAAGTTTGAAAATACATATTAAAAGGGCAATAATTGAGAGACCTGGGTAAATGTTGCTCAATATATAAGCTAAGTATGTCTTAAGATCCATTTTCATGTGCAATTCTGTTTCCCACATCTTGCTCATAGCTATTCTTCTTTTTCAGTCAGAACTAATTATATTTTCATTTTTACCGAATGTTTCTATTGTTTCTTTAATGCAGCTTTCAATCCCTGATTTCTCTTTCCCTTTGCTCTGTTCCTTCTTTTAAGAATAGAATGTGTTTTCAGAATTGTCCTTTTTGTTTCCTTTAAAATATATTTGTTTTTATAATCAGTTTTCTAACCAGGTTTACTAGGAGAGAGCAGCCAGCCAGAACTGCAGACAAAATAAATATCTCACATGCCAGCCAGTCCCTTTTTCCAGTTCATCTTCCCTCCATTTAGGGAGTTATCTGATTCAAAAGAGTTTCACAGAAAAGTGACTTTAAGTGATAAGCCAACACTTTACACTCCAAGGGGAAACACTTCATTTCATTTCAGCAGATGAGTGAGACTTTTTGCTGTTTAAAATCATTTAAAGATCTATAGCAAAAAATAATTTAAAACACTTATTTTTATTTTATTATTTTTTTAAAGATGATCTCTCCTTTGGATCTAAAGGCGGAAGGAAAAGTTTAAAGTTCATGCAGCATGGGAAAAGGAAAAGAGGGGAACACAGGTTCACATTCAGCCACTAATGCCATTAAAGTCAGGAAGGAAATTGTGATCTTATCAGTAAACATTCACAAATGCAGGGACAGTTATTCCATCAAAAACAATTTAGAAAATTCTCTGCTAGTGTCTGTAATGTGTCACAGCTGCAATATGTACCATTAAGGTGTGCATAGCCTTGTAATAAATACTGAAGTAATAAATGCCATTTTGCTTTGTTTCATTAAAATCGCTAGTCAATTGTTTAACCTATTTTCTCACAACACTTTTATAATGTTAACACATATTTGTTATTTAGTCAGTAGCCATGTTATATACCTTTTAAATCATACCATAAACTATTTGAATCCACAAATATATATGAGGGGTTTTTGAAAATTTCATGGGAAGATTCATATTATCTTTTATTCTACTTTTCCACAAACTTTATGAAGTACTCTCTTATGTATGCATTCATCATATATATATATATATATATATATTCAAAGAATATATATATATTCAAAGAATCTTTCCCCTAAACCTCTAGTCTTTATCTTATTTTTTGATACATATTTTTCAGATACTCTTCAATTTCCATTTGATTCTTTGAGATGTACAATCCTGTTATACTTATAAAATACAGGGTTTTTTTTGTTTGTTTGTTTG